ACTGTATATTAGAAACAAAGATTTCTGTGAATTAAAGTACTTTTAAAGAATGTTTAAGGTTTTAAATCTAATGGCACTTGTTCGAGGGAGTTGTTCTGGAACGAACTCTAAATGCACTGGGTTGTGAATAATGCTATTAAATAAGCAGATGTGAATGGTTATTTTATTGCTCTTTCCAGTAGCTGTTCCTGGAGCTGGGTGGGAAATGGTACAGTGGAAGCTTGCATTTGAGAGGTGTCTGTTATCTTGACCTCCCTCATCCCAAAGGACTTGTGGAATGAATGGAAAATGAGAGATGGAATGAGTGGAGATTTGGGATTCGGTTTAAGCTCTCCAAACCCCGTGCCTGTCCTATAGGTGCTGGTGTGCTGCTGGATGTGGAGGCTGCTGCTGCGAAGGGACAAAGTGAACTTGCCTGCCTGGGAGCCATTGGGTGCAGTCCCAAAGTGGTGCCAGAATAAGGCTCATAGTGATGGTTGGAGCCTTCTTGGAAGCTATGGGAGATGTTTGTGTCCCCTTGTGAGAAGGTCGCAGGGTTGGTGGTGGTAAGGAACACAGCAGATTCTCCTTCCTGCCCTAATGGGCTGGAGCTTGTGGTGGGGTTCTTGGCATTACCTGTTCAGATGGATCCTCCTGGTAGGAGTTGTAGGTACTACCTCTGCAAGCACCCTACTGCATGGAGTAGCTGGAACTTCAGCCTCTCACAGGCCACTTACCAAAGCGAATGGCAGCTGGAGTGAATGTGTGCAGAGCCAAGTTCTTTTTAGAGGGGGCTTCTTGTGAATGAATGATGGCAGATGAATGAGGATGGCATCCTTCAGCCTGAAAGCTTGCAGGATGTTGCCTCCAGAGACTTTCCAAACCTCCTGCCTTCAAAATGGATTGGAAAAGAAAGAAACACTTACTACAGTGGAGGTTTAGATGTGATTCAGGCCAGAGTTCAGCAGGTTTTGGGTGTCCAAGCAAACACCAGTGTGGAGCATGTGGGCCTCTGACTGCAGAAGGTCATCGTGCACGTGGTGTGCTGCAGTGTATGTGTGTGTCTGCATGGAGCACGGCGTTCCCCTTTTTAGCCATTACGTTTCCTAGTTCAGGAGCTCGCAGGGAGCAGCGTTGGGAATGGTCGGTGTGAATGTACTGGGATGGAGTGCTCAGATGAACGAGTGAGACCAGTTCCTGTGACTTCTCCTTGCTGAGGTGATGGGCACTGCCCATCAGAACTGCAGCACCCAGCAGGAACCAGGGGATGGGGTGGGAAGGGGTTTTCTTTGTGTTCATTTCTCACCCTGGCAGAAGCTGTGCTCTGGGACAGCCATGCCAATGCACCGAAGCACGGGCTCTCTGCACAGCATGGGATCTCCTTGTGCCTCGGGTGGTTGGAAGGATGGTACCAACGTGAGACTCGTGCTCCTGCCCTTTCTCGAGGCTTAACCCCTAGAAACTCACCTTGTGTTCTTGTGGATGGAACACGGGGCTTGTGCACAGTACCAACGGGGGGTACTAACGCTTCATTCTGCTCCCCGGATGATGCAGTCATGGTGATGCTGAGCTTTGGTGTTCTCAGAGCGTTGTATGGGGCTGCTCTGTCTTGAGGTTTGTTGCTTCCAGGAATGGGAATGCAAGGAGGAACTCCAGCGTTTCAGGAGCAAAGGCATGAGGAGTCCTTTGACCCTTTTCAAATGCCAAAGCAGTGATCCTGCGTGCTGGTGGTGGTGCTGAGTTTTAGATCCCTGTTCCTGCCTGTTGAGACCTCCCTGACTTTGGCTGGCTGAAATCAGGTGGAAGAGCAGCTTTAGGCTCTAGGAATGTCTCCATCTCCCCTTTCTTGTTCTGGGCTCAGCTCCAGCAATGAGCTCATCGTCCCAGTGGCTGCTCTGCCTCCTGCAGCCCCATCATGGGAAGAGTAGTCGTTTTACAGCATTCCTGTCAGTTATTCCAGTACTTGGCCTCTTCAGGGCATGGTTTTCCTTAGAAGATGGGGAATTCCATGTGTTAGTGCTGTAACTCAGGGGTAAATGGTCTTGTAAATGCTATCTGATGGGGCATTACCAGGTGATAAGTGGTTTTAATGCTCAGGTTCTCCCTGCCTGGAGGGGGGTTTCTTTAGTACTTATCTCTGAACCTGGAATCCAGACTGATGGGCACAGGGGTAGGGCAGGACCCGAGCTGTAAGCTGAAGCTCGATGAAGACTTGATGCTGTAAAGGAGTGTGTGTGTGTGTGTGTGTGTGTGTGTGTGTTAAAACCTGGTTTCATTCAGAACCTAAGGGATGCTTCCCCATGAAGTCACGCACAGATCCTGAAGCCCAGAGGAGGAGGAGTTGGGGACACACACACACGAAAGAGGCAGCTGCCTGTTGCCTGTGTCCATCTTGGCCTAGGCAGGTGTTAGGAAGCGCTGCCTCTGCAGAAGAGGCATCTCTTTGTGTGTCCGTTCAGGCAAACCATCTGCCTGGCTCTTCTCAGGCCTCTTGCATGGTGTCAATGGGAGCGCAGGCAGGCAGAGGAGGGGCAGGGCTGCACACAGACAGGCGCTGTCTCACAGGGCTTGTCCTTTAGCAGCCCCTGGAGTGAGCCTTTCTGTGCTGTGCAGAACAAACGAACCCTTCTCGTGTGGAACCATCCCAGGCTCTCTGAGCTCAGACCTCGGAAGCATCCCTCAGCGCTGGCTGATTCCACTTCCCTGTCCTCTGAAGCCTCCTCTGCAAAGCCTGTAGCTGTGGCTGCTTGTGGGAGTGCACTGATTGTGTCTCATTAGCTCTAACCTGACCTTTACGCAAAGGGATCTGGGGGATTGCATATTTTGGTGTCTTAAGCGTAGCTCAGACCTTTATCTAACATGTAAGAGGAGGTGTCTAAGGCACTGCCCAGGCATGCTCCCAGATGTTAGCCAAAGGAAAACGCTGGCATGGGGATGTCTTCTTGTAGCGAGGCTGCTGCAGCTCCTTCTGGGCCTGTCCCTTTGCTTTCTGCCAAAGGAAGCAGATGGGACCCCAAGAACGTGGGAAGGAAAAAGTGCCTGAGGTCAGATGCTGTGGGATGGTGTCTGGAAGCCGGGTCTTCCTCCTTCAGCATCAGGAAAATAGAGCGTGGATTATAGCTGGTCCTCCTCTCTTGTCAGTAGATCCCCACGCTTCCCAGTGCGTGTTGCTGTTCCTGTGGCCATTTCCCTTCCTGCTGTGTTGCCTGGCAGCTCTGAAACCAGCTCAGCCCTGGAGGCCAGAAGGAGCTCCCACTGAAGCATCACTTCATTTTCTCCTCCCAGCCACCAGTTCTGGGCTCAGTGAGGAGGAAAACCGCTTCCCTCCTCACTCGGATGGGCAAAGAAAGCATCGGGAAAAGTCACTTTTCCAAAGGCAGTGTTCTGCCTGTTACACAAGGTCAGACGCGTGCTGCTCTGCCCTACGCAAACAGGCTCATACCGTGTCAACCCTCTTCTTGCCCTAAGTGTCGTCGCTTACACAAACGTAGGCACCTACTAACGCAAGGAGCTCTTTAAACAGGAGAATTCAGCTCAAATGACTGGTTTGTACTGGTTTTGTGCACCGAGGGGCACTGGTCTGCGTCCAGGTTCCCCATGATGAATGCCTTGTTCCTTCCCTTGTGTTCCTGCACGCGGTGTTTCCGTGAGAACCGGGGCATTCCGAGGCGGTTGCTTGATGTGGTCACTGGTTTTGCTCTGCTTCAGCCCTCCTGATAACACCTGGTAAATGCATAACCAGCCTCCTGGAAGGAAACCCCGCCACACACGTACTGCTCCTGTGGGCTGAGGTTAGCTTCTGGGCTTTAAAGTGCTGCTCGCACCATTCGCTTCAGGAAAGAGCGATAGTATTTTTGTAGGGTCACTTCTGGAATGTTCCTGTCTCTACACTGTCTTTCTGTAGCAGTGTAATGTATCCCAGTGAAGAGTTTCCCAATAAATACTGGTTTTGATGCCTAATGACTGACTGCTGTGTCTTTACTTGTGAGAAGGGGTTGACTCGCTGTGGAGGTGATGGAGAAGCTGTAAATGGGAATGATTCACCGGGTGATGCGCTCTTGTCATAGCAGGGTGTATTGGTTAGTACCTCACTTATCCATTAGATACCGTCATTACCCTCCTCATTCTTCCTGCGAGTCACACTGCTGCTTTTTCACATGCCTCTTTCCTATCCCCTTGCTAACAAGAGCCCAATGACACACTCCTAACCTGCCAGTAGTTCTCTGAAGGTAAGATATCTTGTGTTCTGTCTGTGCGAGTCGTAAGGCAAAGCCAACCCCATCTTGGGCTCTTCTACCCGGAGGAGCCCAGAACAGGAAGCCTCTCCCCACCCTGTCTTGTTACACTGACACAGAAGCCAGCCAGGTTGTTAGGGTTATGTTAGATGCTCAATTCGAAGCCGTGGTATGGAGTGTTGAAGATCATTTGCCTTGCAGTGATTTAAAGAATGCTGCTGTAGTTAGCTACAGGCTGACCTTCATCCTTTGAACTGTGTATGTTACTTTAGCAGGTTGCAGGGATCCATCCCTGTGTGTTTTACCTACCTGAGTGTAATTCCATGTACCCGTGGGATGGCTCACAGCAACAGAGGCTATGCCAAGCAGTACGTCTGCTTGTAGGGCAGTCAGCAAGCACCAGTACAGAATGAGGTGGCAGAACTTGGCTGCTTGCTGCAGCCCCACTCCAGCAGCACATTAGAAAGTGAAAACCTCTCCTGTGGTGGTCGCTGTCGTGGGTGGCAGAGAAAAAAACCTTGTGGAATGGTGCTGGGGTTGCCCATCTGTGTGTCAGACATCTTCCATCTCTTTCCGGGTTGTGAGCGGTGCTGAGCTGTGTCACTTCATGTGTCTTCAGTCCCTTCCCTTGTATGTTCTTTCATTTGCCCTCCTTCTCCTTCCCATTTTCCATGCGTGATGGTGGTTTAACTCTGAACAGCATGTTTCTTGTGTAACAAGTACCCTTCTTATGTACGACTGAGGAGATGGAGCTTGTTGAGTAACGCTCTTCTCTTGCGTTTTTAGGTCTGCAGAGGGATCCAGCCCTATTCCCAGTGGTAGCTCTTGAGCCCTGTAAAGGACCTTCTGGCAGTGATGGACTTGCTCCGTACAAGGGTCGGTGTGAGATGCGGGAGGTGAAAACGCAGCACAACTCGGAGTCAGACTACTTGGCAAGAGATGGTCCTTCAAGCAACAGCTCCTTCTACAGCAGTGAAGGAGAGGGGACAGACCATGAAGGGGACATTCTGGATTGCAGCGGGTCCAGGCCGTTGCTGATGGATTCGGAAGAGGAGGAGGAAACCTGCAAGTTGTACCCAGGGTTCCTGCAGTCTGTGCCCAGGGAAAGGCATGAGGCCTCCAAAGAAGATCCCCACTCCCAGCCTAGAGCAGGGGAGTCGCTGTTCACTGCCTTCCAGTCACACACCGGGGAGGTTTTTAATGAGCCGGATGTCTTTGCCACAGCTCCTTTCCGAAGCGTGAGGAAAGTGCCTGATGAGGTGGATGTCTTTACCAAAGCTCCTTTTATCTCCAAGGGGAACATGGCTCTGAGGCATCCCGAAGAAGCAGACGTGTTTCTGAGAGCCCCTTTCACTAAAAAGAAAAGCGTGGAAGAGCTGACTTCCCATAGCACATCTAAAGAGTCATTCACACCTCCCATCCTCCTGGGTCAGGGAGGCGATGGCCAGCACCGAGCTAACCCCGGGATCCCAAGCCTGGACTCCGCAATGTGTGGGTCCACAGCCACGGCGAGAGCTCAGTATGCCTCTGCTGGCTTTCATCAGCCAGGAGGCCTTCATCCCTCTTCCATCAGAGCCGCAGAGCCCCAGGAGCACATCCCTGCTACAGGCTCTGTGCCGCCAGAGCAGGGTGGCACTGCGGGCGAGAGGAGCCCGGGAGGAGCCGCGCTGCCGCAGGAGGCCGTGCTGGGCTCCGTGGCTACCAAGCCTTTCCGTCCACAAGCCCTGTCCAAATACTCCCGTCACTACAGCCCGGAAGATGGGCCGGGGCTCGACGTGAAGCCCATCGCTGCTTACAAAGTGGTTTCCCAGGCCAACAGACAGGCGATAGCAGGATCTGTCTCTGTTGTCCCTCTGTCTTCCAGGACTACGGAGCTGCCCGGCGGGGATCCCTTTGCTGCAGCACCCTTTCCTTCCAAAGCAGGAAAGCAAAAGCCTTAATCTGCTGTGAGCTGGGAGGTGTGCTTCCCTAGGGCCACCTCCCACAGGACCTTGAACCTCTTAGTTGAAATGAATGATATAGCAATATATATATAAAAATAATTATTATTTTTGGGTCAGAACTCTATTTGCAGTGCTATATAGCTGAACCGTTTTAAGTTATGTTAGCCTCAAACCTGGCTCTCAGGATCTTCATATCCTTTTCAATTGCTTCTTACCTTCCTCCTCTCATTGTCGTCCTCTCCGTTTATTGTTTAGATGCTTTCCCAAACCAGTAATATTCCATATGTTCTGGTCCTGGCTGGGAAAATGCATTACAAGATGAATGAAAAAGTTTATGGATTACAGAGCAAGTCAAGCGGGACTTGCTAGTGCTCTGGAAAGGAAGTGATTTCACAGGTTAAAGGGTTTTTGTGACTTCGTCCCTCTTTCCTATCAGTGCAAGACAGCAATGTTGTATATTCCTGCTGCTTGGCCGCGATGGCAAACCTGGCAGCCAAGCTCCAGAGTCTGTCGTGTGCATCCATAGGTGATGCCATGCAGGAGGCGGTGGCACCAGGGCTGTGTTAGAGCCATTTCTTTCAGTTCATGTGCGTACTCCCTGCCTGGTTTACGCCAGCACAGGGATCTGCTGATGGTGGTGTTGCAGGAGGGAGCTGGGCAGCAGTTTTACAGTATTAAACAGAAGCCTTACCGGAAAGCTGAGTGTGCAAACACCTCCCTGGCTGTCCTGAGCTCCATACCTCATGTGGTCACTTCAGTGCTGGCTGCAATCCGGTTAGACTGAGCTATAGAGAACCTCCCCTCTGTGTGTGAACTCTGCCTTCTGTTTTCCTGGTGATAAAGGATGAACCTAAGCAAAATCCATCCATGCTCCATTGGGAATGTTTGCTCTGCTTCTGAAATACTGTGTGTTCTACCCTGTTCCCAAGGAGAAAGGCAACTTCTTATGGGTTGTTCAGTCATTGAGGTAGGGAATCCCAGTACAGTGTTTGGAGGAAAAGCAGCCCTGATGGGCAGAAAGCAAGCAGACTGTGCTCCCCTCTCCTTCCACTGATGTAGGACAGGGATAAGAGTGAAACCTCCCAGCCTGATTCTGCAAAATGCCTGGTTGCAGTTGTCTCAGATCTGCAACCTCTGGCCCTCAGAGGCTATTTAAGTGTGGAGTGGCTCCCAAAGATGCAGGTGTAGGGACTCTTTGGGCTCCCAGTCGTGGATGGATCTTTGCAGTGCAATCATCCTTCCCCTGAGACGTGTTGGTGCTGCAGAATGTCTCCCAAGTGAAGATTTTGGTGGGTTTAATCTGAAGGACTTGACTTCTATGGAAAACATCCCCTTTGGCTTCTGTGGTATCTGGCCAAGCCTCTTAAAAGCCTCGTGGTGGCCATTTCCCAAGGGAGTTTGTTCATTATGGTGTGAGCTGAGCCCTGCACTGAGGGTAAGGACTTATCTCGCCTTTGGGGGTCTCCCGAGCAATGGGTGGCTTGGTGAGATCAGGATGGAGAGCAAGTCCCTGCCCTGCCCTGCCCGCTCTCTGATGGGATTGTACTGAGTACTGTCCCTGGAAGAGATGGGAGGATCAGGTACAGCTGCTCCTAACTCACTGGAGGCCCACTGGGGAGAGCTTCTGCAGCTCAAATTAGACTTCAGTCTAGTTTGGCAGGGAAGAGACCCCCTGATACCACCTCTAGAACAGAGCTTTGTCCAAATAATAAGCCCTAGAGGAATGCAACAGGCATATTGAAGCTAGAAGTGAAGGCTGCTGGAACAAAGCAGAGCACTGCGCAGTGCAGGGTTGACTCCTAACCCAGCAGTGTAAGGGGAGGAGGGATGGAAAAACCCTGCATGCCAGGAGCTGACTAGCAAAGCATGTGCAAAGAGGAGTTACCAACTGCTCCAGGTTTCCGTTCCCCTCCCCAAACTCCGTCCCCTCCAAACCATCTCCAATTGCAAGAGATGAGCCAGATGTTCTGCTGGACGTGCCTGGCGCGGGGATCGCCTGGAAGGGAGAGGAAGAAGTTTGGGCTGAGCCCTTGCAGCCCTGGGATGGGGAGGGAGAACACTTGGAAGCAGGGGGGCTTGCACAGCCTGATTGCTGGCAAATAGCGACTTGCTGAGCCCAGGTCAGGTCCAATTCTGCTCTGCTACACTGGGAGTGAAGTAATATTGATGCACACTGGTGGGTTTTGTGTCCTCTGTCATCACGCCTTGAGAAGTACTGTAAAGAATTCCCTGGATTTCCCCGGAGATGTTCCTTCAGCAATGCTGAGGCTGTTGTTGCTTGTGTTCTGTTGTTGCTTTCTGTTTCAATCTATGCCCGGCAGGCGGTTGTTTCTGTTCTAAATACACGCACGATGCACACCCCAAGTCGCTTGTTGCTGGATTGGATCCGCGCGAGATGCAGACTGTGAATTCAAGGGGTACTAAGGACAGTGAGTGTGAGGACACAACTCGTGTCATGGGGCTGAACTTGGCCTCGAGCTGTTGAATTGGCTTGGGAAGCTGCTGGAAGGGAGGTCAGGCCCACGTGTAAAGAAGAGGTGGGTTCAAGGCATTACCTCTGCAAACTGGATCCAGGTTCTCCTTCCTGCTTTTTGACTTGAAAACCTGCGTTTGGGTAATTCTGTGAAACGTCCTTCGATGCCACGTCCAGGCCTCCCTTAGCTGATGCTGGAGGAGCAGCATCCTGCTCCCCTTCATCCTCGGATCCCTTGCCCCTTGGTGGCAAGGTGGAGATGAGCTGTGGGTTCTTCAGCCCTCCCTTCTCCTGCCCTGCCAACCAAGGGTGGAAGGGAGAACCCAGCAAGGCCCATCGGGGTGTGCAGGCTTGCTGCAGCCCTGCTTCACCTCGGGGCAGGCTGAATCTCCGGGTTTGGCAGCTTTTATGTTCTTCAAGCACTTTACACAAAGAGCAAGCAAACCCTGCCCCAAAAGCCAGCATATATCCGGTGCTTAAGTGGTCTGAAAGCTCTTCTGGGGGGTGGAGGCAGCTTGTTTGTGTCTCTGCGTGTGACCTGTAAAGTGATGGGACTTCTGGTTCTGGGCAGAAAACTGAATTTCAGTGCCTGTTGATCTCAATCTCATTTCCAACCTGGTTTCCTCCTCATCCCGTACTACCAGTGCTGCAGCTTCAGCGTGATGCGTTGTAAATGGAAATGTGATTTCCATGCTCTCTGGAGCTTACTGGTTTTAATGAATGTGGAAGAATAATGGGAGTTGCTTCCTTTGCCACACAATCTTAATCAGATTGGTAACTCAGAACCACGCAGCCACTCGCTTACTCCCATGCCTCTGCTCCTGGAGGGATGGGGAGGAGAATGGAGAGAATGTAAATCCCATGAGTTGAGAAACGAACAGTCCAGTAACTAAGGTATAACACAATTCTACCACCTATAATAATAATGATAAGGGAACAACAAGGGGAGAGAATACAACCGCTCACCACCCACTGACCGATACCCAGCCTGACCGAGCAGTGATCTAGTCCTTCCGCGTAACTGCCCCCGGTTTATATACTGGGCATGACATGCTGTGGTATGGAATACCTCTTTGGGTAGTTTGGGTCAGGGCTCCTGTCTCTGCTTCCTCCCAATTTCCCCTCCTCCCTGGCAGAGCATGGGACTAAAAGTCCTTGATCAGAGTAAACGTTACTGAGCAGCACATCAAAGCATCAGTGTTATCAGTGTTGCTCTCAGGCTGCACCAGCTACTGAGAAGGAGCAAAATGACTGCTACTGCTGAGCCCAGATTAGTCCAGCCTCCCTGCAGCGCTTTGAGGCCACCTTGCTGAACAAACCATTGGTGTCATGTCTTGATTTTAAAGCTCTAGTACGTTGTTAACTGCCCTGGTCTTCAGGCACGGTCAGAGGGCCCCAGCCCTGGGACAATCTTACACTCATGCTGGCAAAGGGACTGGTCCTTACGCATCTGGAGCCTCTCTTTGAAGTGCTTCATCAGTTTCTGCCTGTGAAAAGTGAACTATGATTCTATGCTTCTGAACCTCTGGTTGGCTTGGCTCTGTGTGCCTCACTGCCATGGGGGTCAGACAGCACATAAGGGGCCAGCCACCCTGCTGTTAACCTGCTGCAGTATTGGTGGGGCTTGCCCCACGTCTCTCCCTCCCGTTCAGCTCCGCTCGGGTCACACACAGTGTGAAGTTTACAACCTGAAGTCCTTTTGGAGCCAGGACCCGCTCCGTCTGTGATGCACGCTCTGCATGGAGCACGCAGTGATGGGGAGCTTGGAACAGCAAACCAGTGTCAGCCCTCTCTTCAGTGGCACTTAAAGCAAGGCTGAGCGAGATGTGGTCAATGGCTGAACCCTCCATCACTCCAAAGCAGTAACCGGTTACCTTTAACTCAGCTTCCACCAAAGACTTGCGTTGGGGAATTGAATCCTTGTGGGGTTTTTGCTGGGTTCTTTTATTCCCATGGTGTTGAATCAAGGCCTTTCAATGCACCCGCAGACTCCAAAGCGTTTTTACAGCAGTTACATCTTGGCAATGAAATCTTGTTCCAGCTCTGACACACATTCCTGAAACCTGGCCAGCTGTGTTTCTAAGATAAGCCACAGCCTATAGCTTCCATTGTAGGTAGGGTAAATACCCTCAACCACCCCTATAAATACTCCCCTATCAGAGGGGTGTTGATGCTCCACCATTCCCAGTCCCTCCTCTAGCAGTGGGGAGGCGGGCAGGGGCTTGCTCTGATGTAGGATGCAGCTACTCCACGCTACAGTGCAAGCATCTCCCTTGCTTCCTCATGGAGCTGGAAGCATCCATGGTCCCCGCTGTGACAAAGGCATCGTGTCCCATTCACTGTTATCGAGGTTAGTCCTTGGAAGTACCCGGATCTGGCTCGCAGATTCCATGGAGTCACGTTCACATTCCGGGGGTGATCGTCCACGTTCCTGATCATCCTTATGGAGAGCTGTTGGAGTTGTAAACCTATGTGCGTTCTATTAAAGCTGTATCTGGTTGCAATGCGTCTCCGCTGTGCATTCCTTCTCCCCTCCCCATGCACAACAGTTAATCCCGGATACAAGGAATTCTTCCCAACGAGGTATTGAACCTAATGTGTTTTATCCGCCAGTCAAACTGATCCTAACGCCTTAAGATCTTTTAGGAGTGGATTTCCCCCTTTACCACTGGGAGAGACCTTCACATCCAGCTCAATGCCATGGAGCCGGATGGGGCTCAATCCAGAGCTGTGGATTGAGCACACCCAGAGGAGGGGCAGCTGGAGCTCATTCCAAAGGGGATCCGTGCCGAGCTGTGGGGGAACACAGGGGGGGATCCAAGAACAGGCTTTGGCAAAGGCAAAGGGAAACGTGTTGGACGTGAGCGGAGCAGCGGATCCAGCAAGGAACGGCTGGAACTTGGCTGCGTTTTTGGATGACATTAGTTAATTTTAGATGAAATTAGTTAATTTGAATCGAATAAGCTGTGACTGGCTTAATTTAAGGGACTTTTTGGTCCAAAATTGGCAAGATTAATCATATTAAGGGGGAGTTTCTTCATCTTGCTCAGTTCTTCATCCTCTTGTGCAACAGGCCTGAGCGCTGGCAGCTGCTGCACTGCAAAAGCAAGAGCTTCTATCTCCTAATCAAAGCAAACACACCTTTAGTTTTCCCAAAACCGCCGTGTCTGGGAGGTTTTTTGGGCTGAATTCGCAGGTTTTTGTTGCTTTGTGCGATTTGGGGAGGGGGGAAAAGCATCTTTTTGTGTTACCTGCGGTGAGCCCGGCTCAGCGCTGCGTGTGGTAACCCTGCTGCTTCCAGAGCGTGCCAAAGCGATGCCAGCGTTTGGGATGCGGACAGTGGGGCTTCATCGCTCTGGAATGCGCCGCAGCGATAGGAAATATTAAAAAAGAAGGGGAAAAAAGTGGTGGTTTGAGGGCTAAAAACGTTAATTTCTGTCGGACCGTGAAGGTGCGGAGCCGCAGGGCAAGGCCCCGCTCCCGCCGCCGCCGCCAGGGGCCGCCGCCGCGCCTCAGGGCAGGCGGGAGCGGCGCTGAGGAGAGCCAAGATGGCGGCCGCGCGGTGGCTCGGCGCGGCTGCGGGGCTGGGCTCCCGGTAGGTGACCGCGCTGCCCCAGCCCGGAGGAGGAAACCCGGGTTTATCCCCCCCTTCCCATCCTCGATGGGGTCCCCTCTCGCTCCTCTCCCCACACGGCTCGGGGCGGCCGCGTCGCAGCGAGCGGCACCGCGAGCCCGCAGGCCGCGTTGGCTCTTCCGCGTCCCTTCCGCGCCGCGGCAGGGCGGACGAGGGTGAGGTTATTTCCTCCCTGCCCTCGTTACAGACGGGGAGTCTGTTTCTTCTCTCAACACCATTCTAACAGCGAGGGGTTAATTTCCCCCCCCCCCCGCCACGCAGGTGCTGAGGGCCTTCCCCTGAGGGACTGCTGGGCTCCTACGCACAAAGGTGTGAGTAATGGAGTGGAATTCCCCTCACAGGGCTCAGGACCGTGCTGCAGGGAGTCATTCGCCCCCATAGGATCATGCAGTGAGGGGCAGTGGCCTCCCCCTTCGTGTACGTGTCCTTAGGGCCAAGGAGTAAGGGGAAATTCCCCCTCACCACAAGTGCTAGAGACTGTAATAAGGGGAAAATCAAAGGGCAGCATTGTTGTGGGCACATCTGGTGTGAAACGGAATCGTGTTTATTCCCCAAACCTAAGGGGGAAAGGAGAACTTGGGGGCCCTTCCTCGCTTCCCATTGTGGCCTCTCTACCTGCTCAAGACCACAAAAGTAAGCAGATAACATGATTCAGACCTCTTCTGGGTTCATGTGCCTTCACTCACACTAAAGAGGTGCATTCCTGACAGCTTTCCTCCTGTTCCCATGTTTGAGCAGTCTGGACCTGGTGTTGTGCTTGTGCTTGCTGCCTCTCTTACCAGCCCCTGTTACTCTAATGTGTTTAGTTTACCTGCTTTCCCTCCCCTGTATTCCAAAAGGAGGAGAGAAACCAGAAGTAATGAGTCCTCAGTATGTGGTATCTGTGAAACGAGGTGGATTTTGGTTCATTTCTGATTGTCACTTAGCTCTGAGATACCTTAATGCTGACAGTTAGGCCTGTTACTCCATCACTCCACCTTCCTTTTTCTCTTACAGTTCTTTTCCTCTCTGCTCTTCCCCCTTTTAACCCTATCTGAGCAGATGACGCCACTCCTGTTTTGGCTGCTAATGGCCAGCATGGAGCAGGGCCTCTTTTTCACTGGTCTGGTTTAATTCTGGAGCAATACTTGTACAGGAATGTACTGAGTTTCTTTATTCCTCCAAGGGAGGAAGTGCATAGAGGTGGACAGGGGTGAGGTATGCCTTGGTGTGAGTAGCTAAGAGGGGTTTTATTTCTTATCCAAGTGTCCTGCTATGTTTTTCTTATGTCAGTTGTTAGTGTAAGGGTAGCCATTGCATTAGCTCTTTAGCTTGTCCTGTAGCTTCTGAGAGTCCCATAGGAGACCCTTATCTTTGACCAGCTAAACCCACAGAGTATAGGATTGAATTCCAGCCTTGATTTAGCCTCAGGTGCTTGAGGCTGGATTCATCTCAGCTGTCTGTAGTCTTCTGAAAATCAGGTGTTTAGTCCAAGCTACGTTTCTAGGCACTGGCTACTGTCAAGAAGATGACAGAGGGTTTCTTTAGGATGTTTATCCTCTTCTGTCACAAGTAAGTGAGGTGATTTGCCTGGCTTTAGTGACTGAAGGAGTCTAGGTTAATGTTTTGGGTGGCTAAAACCTGGGAGCTGTGTCTCTTGTGATCCAGCCTGCTGCATTATCCAGGAGAGAAGCAATGCGAAGCACTCTCTCTGTGAGGTGGTGCAATTTGGGGATTGATAGTAAAATTCTTTTCCTCTAGGTTCTGTCGTATGATGGTGAAAGATCACAATTTGACACCTCAACAGTGTTTCCACCAGCTTGTGCAGAAGAAACCCTTTCTTCCACCTGCAGTGTGGCATAATGCAGGTAAATACTAGTTAAAAATGAAGAGATGAATGTACTGTGGCTTTGTGTCTTGTGGCAGTAAATGACAGTTTGTTATTCCTTCTGAAAGCCGAGTGGTGTCACATTTCCTACGTGGTTTTTAATGCAGTTTTAGTGCATTTGGAGCTTGGAGAGGTTTGGACGGCTCACTTTGTGCTGGATTATGCATGTTTGTTCTATGTCATTCAGCTGCCAAGGCTTACGAGGGGCTTTGTTAGTGCAAAATGTTATTTGGGCTTTGCTGCCCTTCTTAATTTAATTTCTTAGTGTAAGTGTATCTGTTGTCAAAGACTTTGTGTTGCCTTCTGTCCAGCTTCAGCTCCTGAGCTCTGCCAGATAAAACTGCTGGCTGTCCAGCTAGAACCTGGCAAGGATGGGGGCAAAGCTTTTCATTCCTAAACCTGCAGTACTCTCTTGTTTTCATTTCCCCCTGTCTAGGCATGCTTCACTAAGATTGCCTGCAACCTGGTATTACCCTGAAAAAGCAGTGTTTCAGATTGACTTTGCTGGTCCTGCCAGTTTTGGGGATAGGCTCTGATGCTCAGAAAAATTAACAGTAGTCTGAAATTTGCCATGCAGAAAAAACACTGGGTTTGCACCTGCCTGAGAGATTTAGCAACCGATCGCTAATGTTGCAGTAGGAAGAGCCTGAGACATGTTCTGCAGGTGCTGTTGCGTGGCATTAGTCACAAGTGGAAATCTAATTCAAATGAGTCTGCTCAGGCAGAAGGTTCTTTCTGGTTTTGGTTGCAGACAAGTCCTGTCTTATCAGCCCCAGCACCATTTTTCCTCTTGCGGTTTTACTCAACAGGCAGACTCTGACAAGCAGATGTAGTATTTTACCTGCTTCTGCAAGTATCCTAACAGTGGCCTCTGGTATCTTCCTCTTACCTTGAGCTGATGCTAGGCTGATGCTCTAGGCGCATGCACGGGCAGGCACTGAGTGTTCCACAGAGGGTTGAAGGAAGCACTGTAGATGTTTGATGTAAATGCAGACAGTTACCAAGTGTGCAATAATAAATTCCAAATGAGTTATTTTCACAGCTGTGCACAGAGCTTGATTCCAGGTTGGTTCATGATTGAAAAACCTGGTCTTAGGAAGGCAGATCCTCAACTGCAGAAGTCACTTCTAAATACAGAGGCCCCCCACACAGATACCTTTTAGCAGCCATTTGTGTTTCAGGGTGTTAGAGATGGTAGGTGAATAATGTGACCCATTGCTTTCAAAAACTGAGCACTGTACTCAGTTTACACCATCCAAATCCCCCATTGTTGGTCATTAACAAACTACACTGTTAACACTGGATGTGATTTTGGATGCCAGCTCGGTTTGGAAGGTGAGTACTTCTTCCATCCCTGTGGATAAAGCTGACTGGTTGCTTGCTCCATTGGGATTATTCTTTCCATGTTAAAACTAAGAACATCTCTGCTAGAAAATGTGTGTGTGTGTGTGTGTGTGCTTTGCCACTGTGCATGTTGAAGTCAAATGGGTTGTTACCATGACAGACATATACAGTAACAATTTGGCAATCTATAAGTAGTGTCATTTGTCATCTAATACTAAAGAGTCACGAGCAAAATGTCAGCTCTTTTTGCTGCTCTAAGTCCCTGTTGCATGGGTTTTGAGTTGAGTTTGTTTCTCAACTAGTGTTTGTTTATAGATATTAGTTCCTAGAGATTTTTTGGCTTAAAATGCATTTTTATTCCCTGAATGTTTGTATATCTTTTGTTCTTTGATGTGCAGGGAGAGTTAGGAAGGGGGAGAACTAGAAAGAAGTCAAGAGACTGTCCCTAACTGGTGCTCAGCTTCAGTGGGACATTAGGAATATGCTGAGTGGACACATCTGCAGGAAAATACACTATTAAATGTAGACCATTAAATGTAGAGTATTAACTTTTAGTCAAGACCAGGTTATTTACATTCAGCTGTTGCAATGACATACCCACTCCACAAAAGGAACTTCAGTAAAAATGGATCTTTTAAACATCTTTGCCAGTGAATTGTAAGTAATTTTATGTTGAGTTGTTTGGTCAGTTCAGCTTCTGGAGGATAACTGACCGCTTAGAGTAGTTTTTCACTGTGGAAAGTATAGGCAGGGGTGGTTCACTGTAACTGTTGTTGCGCTTGGTTTTCTTTTTTATGGTGCTGAAAAATGAGGTGAAGCCCAAACCCCATAAATCCTGTGTATCTTCAAGAGAGGGTTTATAAAACTGACTATGCTTTCAAGAGGGAATGATAATGCTGAAAGATAATGCTGCTTTATGATTTGAGCATCATAAAATTAAGAAACGTGAACACAACAGATGTGAAGTTTGTGTCTCTTGGCCTTCAGTAGGAAGGGAGGATGGGACTGGCTTCCTGCTGTTGCAGTAGGATGGCTTTTAGTAAATAAAAAGCTAGCAAAAGGAGCAAAGACAAGCTTCCATTTATCATCTTGTTTGCCATGAGATGATGTTCTTGTGTTTATCAGTCTTTGTGTCTGAAAGCTTTTGTGGGACCCACTGCATTGTGCTTTAAACTATCACTGCTGCTGTTTGCTATAGCACAGCCATCTCCCTCAGTTTGTCTTGCTGAAGACTTCATTGAAGCTACTTAGGTTTGATTACACTGTTTTTCTTCTTTCTGTTTTTTGTTTTGTTTGTTTGCTTTAATTTCCAGTAAGAGGGATGTTTATTCAAACTCAGGACACACCGAATCCAAACAGTTTGAAGTTTATTCCTGGGAAGGAAGTGCTGGGGTCAAGGACTATGGAGTTTTCCAATCCAGCTGCAGCATTTTGCTCACCTTTAGCAAGGTATTATTAAACTGGGGGGGGGGGTCACTATGGGCTGTGTGGTGACAACTGATGTTTTTAAGCTCATTCTGCTCCTTATACTCAGGAGCAGCTTGGTTGGATTTCAGTTTTCAATGCTGCTTTCCTTGTGCATAAATTTAAAGCTGGGAGGATTGTTGTTGCTAAAGGAGTCCTTCTCTTGTGTCTGTACTCCCCATTTCTCTATCATCATGCTGTAGTTCATGTAACTGGGTTGAGTGGTATCATAAATCAGCATTCTTGAACAGTGAGACCTCTGGCCCTGTGTTCACAAATCATTCCCATCAGAACACTCTTAATTCAAGTAGTTACTTGGAAATCATGCAACTTCTCACAGTTGGGAAACAGACCCTCACAAGTCTCTCTGGAAATACTTGGAATCATCCCTTTTGTATCATTGCTTTCACATTTGCCTCTGAAAAGAGCCCTTATCCATTATATGGGTGGAAGGGCTTCAGTTTGAGCCTGAGACCCAGAGGTGCTGCAGTAGGTTACCTCTGGAGATCCCAGTTTAAGTCATCTTTATATGCTGGAAGAATTATATGCAAAAGTAGAAGCTGTTTCACATGGCACTCTCCAGGAACTGTAGAGTTATCAAACACGCAGCTCTGATGATTCCAACTCTCGTAGAGTTGTTTGTGCAAACAGGATCTTTATGAGCCAAGCTCTGCTAATTAAAGAAATACAGTGTGAAAGGGTTGTGAGGACGTCATGTGTTGACGGGATGCTGAAGCTGTAGGGTGTGATAATACCAAAGTACATCAGGCTGCAGGGTGCTGTCGACTGTCAGAAAGGAGCTTTTTGTTGTCATGTACCTGCAGATAAGCATTTTCATTAAAGAGGATGTATGTGGTAGAATGTGTACCCTGGCAAAGCAGCTTGGTTATGTGTATCGTGCAGGTTAATGGGGAAAAAACTGTCTATATCCTTAAACCCCAGATTATGTTTTTTATAAATGGAATACTCATTTATTTTAATAGGGGATATTCATTTTCCAAAGAAGTATTAAAAGCTTCCTGAAGGGGATGAAGGGGGGGAGTATCATTTTGGTTGATCCAGGGTGATATGGTGCACTTGCATAATGTCATTGTTTGAGTAACTTAAAATGCAGTTGATTTAGTGATGTAAAAGCCCAGAGCACGTGTAACTGTTTCGTGTGTAGAAATGCTTTCAGATGGCTATTGTGAAATCTCTTTTCATCGCACATACCTTTGTGATGAGATTTCCAATTCCTTCATTGCATTTTTGATTTCACACACACACAGAGTTACAAAAATGCCTTTTCAGGAGTAGCATCATTTCTTTATTTTGTGGATGGATTTGTTGGGGTTTACTTAACCATTTGTGGAAATTGGCTTTTGCATTCTCATTCTGCTTTTTGCACTTCATTGTCAAACATCTGCTCTTGCCTCCCCTGTAAGCTCTTGAGTTGCTTTGGCTGTGTGCTAATTTATGACCTGGTTGCTGGATGCTGTATGGGGCCCTCTGAAGCAATTGAATATGAATCTTAAGCCTTTACTAACTGAATGACTAAAACTGTTGAAGACTGCTCACAAAGTGAGTTGGGTGTTAAAGCCTTGTGGACTGCTTGGCACTAATCCTTTTATTTAATGGCAACAGAATTGAAGGGAGCTTTTTTTGAGCTCAGTTACTTTGAATAACTTTAGTCTCAGGACCATTCCTTATATTTGCACTAGTCCTCTCTGAAACAGTAGGTACCTACAGGGTTTGATGCTGAACAAACAGCTTTTTATACAGAATATGATTTTGCCTTCAAAGAACTGTTGAGAGAGTAACACAGATCCTGTAAGAGATGTGTTCAGTCTTACTCCATACCCTGGTTCACAGCAGGATTTCCTGGCTCTTACTAAGCTGTAGGTGAAGTAACTGTTTCTCCTAATGGCTCTGGCTTTAGTGCTTGTTTTTGTCTAGAGGTATATTCTAGAACGTTTTTTCTCTGACATTAAATAAATCTTCTGGAGTTTGCTGAAATGTGTGTTGGTTTGGGTTTCTGTTTTCTTAACAGACAGTTATTCAGAATTGAAGGAGTTAAAAGTGTTTTCTTTGGACCAGACTTCATCACGATCACCAAGGTAAGCAGAGCAGAGGTTTGGATGTGCTGAAAGATGAGCTGAGGTCCAGCTGTCTTAATAAATGGCCATAGGGAAGATCCAGTGAGACTCCTGGGTGTGTGTCATGAAAGCATCAGAGGCCATGTTCACAAGCAGCATAAAGGGAATTGCCTTTAGTATAAAGGCAAAAAAAACGTGATAAAGTGTGTATGAGCACTGGATTAGGTTTCCTTGATCTTGGAAATGGTCAGCATGAGGCCCTGTGCAACATGGTAGCTTGGAAGCTGGCTCTGTGTCAAACCGGAATTGGGACTGGTTGACCTCCAGAAGGCTTCCAAGTGAATGGCTGCATGATGGGGATGGATTCAGTGCTCACTGTGTTTGCACAAGGTGTGGAGCTCATGTCAACAGAGATAAGGTGGTGGCAGTAACCCTGCAGGTATCCTCTCACTGTGGGAAGAGCACAGGCTAAGTCAGGGAATGTTAATTTGGCTCGAAATGGGACCAGACAATCTCAAGTCTCTGAAATGGTTGGGTAGAAATATGTGTTAAATAATGTATTTAGGAGAGTTTCACCTCTTCAGTTAATGCTCTGATAGCACTTGTTGGAAACCTTTCTATTGACCATTGTAAGTTGAGTCTTACTGGACTTTTTTGGCAAAGCTATACCTGGACCTGACAAAACTATGAAATCAAATCCATGCATTGAGTGTGAGAACCCATGATATCTTTAACATAAGAAGAATCTCTGCCTAATTTGGTATTAGGAGGATGATACTCTGGTTTTACTCTTTCTTTCTTTCTTCACCTGATTCTCACAGGATAGTGAAGACCTGGATTGGAACTTACTCAAACCAGATATTTATGCAACTATAATGGATTTCTTTGCCTCTGGCTTACCTGTAGTCACTGACGAGGCACCTAGGGCAGATACAGGTAAATCAAACTCCTCAGGAAGAGGGATTGGGTTTAGTTTATGTTTTTAGTTTATCCAGAAGAGCCTCTGCTTGTTCCTCATATACACTTCCTGTGTGTGAAATACTTTTGAGGCTTTAGAAAGCTGGGGGGTTTTGTGGCAGACCCTTCTTGTATGAGCATCTACAAAGGGTTTTATTTCCCTCCTTAAATCAAAAAGAGTGCCCAAGCCTAATGGTAGGTTTATGTTCTCAAATGAACAAGAAATTGTAAGAAGTCTTTTCCAAACCATAATGAAAGGAACTGAAACTAACTTAATATTTAGCTCAGGGGCAGTATTTTGCTATTTATTTTCTCATTTGCAACTTAACAACTTAAGCAATTTTCCCAGTGTTTTAAGGAAGGTTATGGCTATTGAGTTCCTCTCTTATGTCTGGATTGAATTTCAGTATGCACATAGGCTTTGTTTTATTTGGAAAATTTGTCCTAAAAATGCTTCTGTGAGACTAACACTGAGCTCAAAATGGCATCCGGAACTGCTAAAGCCAGACATGGTCATAATTCTTCTCCTGCTTTGTTTTCTTGGTGCTAAAACCTTTTGAGGGCCCTGCCTTGATCCGTTAATCCTTACTGAATGTTAGTTGTTACTTCCTTTAAAAGGTGGGGCTACTTGTCTGTTAAGGCCTTTGCCTGCTGAGAACTCTGAACTGATACTGGGTTTTGTTGGTGGAGGCCTGGGATGTAAATAAGGACAATGCAGAAGAAGCTGCTCTAAATTGAGACATACACCTTTTGGTTTCAGTCACCTCAGTGATGGGTTTTATGCTCTCCCGTTCTGCCATTATGGATATACAGTATTAGTAATCATCAGAATTCTCTCCAAGTTCTGATTTGCACTTTTTGCCTTTCCCAAGGTGCATCAGAAGATGATGATGAAGTTGTACTGATGATTAAAGAACTGCTGGATACAAGAATAAGGTAAACTGGGAACATTACTGCGAGATGGAGTGAATTAGTCTTGGGGATTGGATTTATTTAGGCAGCAATGTGTTTTTCTCCGGGTATTTGTGATTTCATGGTCCAGTATCCAGTTAAAGTGCAACGTGCCAGAGTTGAGAGTGCTGTTTCCTCTGGTTGGAAGCTTTCTGTCTAGTTTCCCTGTTTAAGCAAACTGTGTGTGGAACAGAGTCCTTATTGCTCAGTGACTTTAGAGCAGTGTATAGCCTTACCCTCTGTAATGCATTTGAGCAGGTCCATTGGTTTAACCTGTCTTACTTTTAAACAGTGAAAACAGCACAGTCTTTGCTATTAGGGTATTTGTTTTCCTCTGTTGTATTAGTCTCTGTCTTAATTGTACATGTCCTTCCCTTCCAAGTATTCCAAACTAGTTTGTATTCTTGTATAGTACTCTAAAGGAGAATTTACAAGTGGTTTTCCTTTACTGTCTGGGCTTCAGTGGATTTTTGTCCATGCATTCTGTTGCAGTTTAGTTTGTGTTTTAACATGTCTTGAATTTAGAGACTGGTGGTAACTAATGAAGTCTCATGGGGGCCGTGGATCATGATGTGTACCCGAAGGGTGTTTTTATGCTCATTAATTGCCTTCCAAAGTGAACTGAAAGGAGTAAGCAGCTTGACATTTTAGATGCAGGGGAAAATGTCTGATGTTTCTCATGTTGATACTTGTTGGTGACTTCTTCCCCAGCACACAAATTACAGGAGACAGCAAGTTTTATGTGCGTCAAAATCGTGGAATTCAGTTTTCATTTTTCCAGAATTTATGGCAAACTTGGGCTTTTTATTTAATTCTGCTGCCTTTAAAGTGCTATGAATGTCAAAACGTGGTTGTCCCACAGCTGACACATGGTATTGGTTAATGTTCCTGCAAGGAGAGAGGAGAAAAGCAGGAATAAGCTGGAGCTCTTTTCCCAAACATACGTACCAAGTGTTGAAACATGTATCCCAAGTATACCGTCGCATAAAGCTTTATATATGTCATATAAATACTTTATACTGTCTTATTAAAGCCTCATCCAGGAGGCCCTGCTCCTGCTGGGTATGTGGTTGGTTAAGCTCCCTCAGATATGTCCTTTCCAACCCTAACTATTCTATGATTCTGTGTTAGGCCTGGATTTCCTCTTTCATAAGGTCACAGAATTTGTGCCCAAATTTCTGCTTTTCCCCACCTTTTTCTTTCACTTCCTTCTGCCTGTCCCCTCAATGGACCAAGAAGCTGTTGATGAGAGCATTAGCAGTAGTGTCTCTTACTTCACTCGAGAGCAGGATAGTTTACAGAAGCTATGTATACACCAGTGGTACACACAAAGCATTTATTATTTAGTTGATCAATAATATGTGCAAAGAAGTTGTCAGAAAGTGCAGGATGGAGGGAATATAGCTCTGAAAGGTATTTTTAGTTTTTGGCTTTCTGGAATGGAGATAATTTCTATGGTGAGTTGTTAATAAATGTGTAGATGTATAGATTATTCTCTTAGGAGTGTAGCTCTCAAAGAGTGACTTTGAAAAGCAGCATAAAGAGCTTCTGTTAGAGTAACCTGATGGTTTTAGCTTGGTCTGGAGAAATGTTCCTGTGAGACTACAGTTACAGTGCTGGGCATTTGTGGCTTGCAAAAGGAGCCCTTGCTGCAGAATACTGGGATGTATTCTCAGATGCTGGTTTCTTCACCTGCCAGCAGGATTAAGCTTTCCTAGTTGGAGCTTTTTCCTGTCCTGTGTAAACTCTGGTGAATGGTGGATTTATTTATGGAAGCATTTAAGGACTTCTTATCACTGTCCCTGCTCAGGTAACAGATGCACATACATGGTGTGGTAGGACACACCCCTGTTGTATTTGGCACATAAATGAGGCAGTCAGCGTTATGTGTGGGGAGGGCCTTAAGGCAAACCCATATGTCTTTGCAGATATATGAATCAAGCTCAACTCTGAGGTGCTTGCCCTCAGCCTTAGAATTTCAGTGATTCCTTTGTATGCTGCTGCCAATATGTTTTGCTTAATGTTTTGTGGTAAAACAGTAGTGAGGGTCCAGCAAAGTATGAGTTGTTGGACATTGAATCGGGTGGTTTCAGAGAAAAAGGGCTATAGTTACTATGTCTTGGCAGTTCTTTGTGTGTATTAAATTTAGCTTTACTACAGATTTCTGGAAGGAAACATACTTCAGCTATACTTGCTTTAAATTGAGTATCGTGTTCCACCAGGCCGACAGTGCAAGAAGATGGTGGTGATGTTATTTATAAAGGCTTTGAGGATGGGATTGTGCAGCTGAAGTTGCAGGGTTCATGTACCAGCTGTCCCAGTTCCATCATCACCCTCAAGAACGGGATACAGAACATGCTCCAGTTCTACATCCCTGAAGTAGAAGGCGTGGAACAGGTGGGTTGGTCAGAGGTAATAGCTGTGTGCTTTCAAATGGAAAAGGTCTTTGTCCCTTTCCAGCATTTAAGCAAAAGTAGGGGATTTTTAGATGCAGTTTTTCCCAGTCAGAAGCTGTATCTTAGCTAAAGATACAGAACTCTGCATTGTCCTGTGCAGCCCCGAGCACCAATATGTGCTGGGGACTTCTTGGAGCAAGTCCAGAGGAGGCCATGAGGATGATCAGAGGCTGGAGCACCTCCCATAGGAAGACAGGCTGAGAACATTGGGGCTGTTCAGCCTGGAGAAGAGAAGCTGTGTGGAGACCTCAGAGCAGCTTCCAGTGTCTGAAGGGGGCTACAAGGATGATGGGGAGGGACTCTTCATCAGGGACTGTAGGGATAGGACAAGGGGTGATGGGTTCAGACTGAAACAGGGGAAGTTCAGGTTAGATATAAGGAACAAGTTCTTTCCTATAAGGGAAGACTGAAGAGTCTTTTGCTTTCTCATGAAAAATCTGATACCCTGTAGTGATTGTTCTGGTGGCCTCTGGAATAACTTCACCAGCTCCTTTTACATCATTCCTTCTGGAATTAATCTTTAGCCACATTTCCTCCCGGTGTTATTGATAGCCAGTGTTTCTTACCTTCTTCACGTGACCATTGTCATTCTGTGGTGTAGAATAACTGCTGTTCCCCTTGCGTCCAGCAAGGATTTAGTGTAATAAATTCTTTGCAGTCTGACAGGACTGAGAGTTTAAGCTATTTAACTAAACTACTTCTGGATCTGATTTCAGGTTGTTGACGACGATGATGACGTGGAGAAAGAAGCAAATTCTACGTGAGCTGGCATCCTCTGTGGCCAAATACGTAGTTACCTCTTGGTGTACGTAAACTATCCTTGTGCTGAGGAACAACCAAATTTGCCTTCTGTTTCACTCTTATATCTGTGAAAATGTATCCTCAGTTTAAGCAATTTGTCCACTAAGTTATTAAAAGCCCTGCGTTCAAAAAAGAAACCTTTTGCTCTACTTTGTACTATGTCTTAAGCAAGAAATGATGGGCTTTAAAAATGATGTGTCTTTCCTATGTTCTTTCATATAAAAATCAAGACTGAAAGGCCAAAGTAAAGTTTCTTGTCTGACTTTTTTTTTGTGCAATAGAAATATTACATGTTTATTCCCCCAAACCTCCTTATGGGGCTCACCAGGGCTGTCTGCCCTTGCTCTGTAACTGGGGAATTCAGGAATGTTCATTTGAACCAGTCTTACTAAAAAGCTTTCCATAGGATTTTTGTGTGTGTGAAAAGTAACCCAAAACCTCAAGTGTTTGTTCTAGAGGATGCGATGTTGCCATCACTTGTGGAAAGTTACCTACTCACTTGCTACCCCTGTGCAAATAGCAACAGGCAGACAAAATGTGTTTTGTTATAAAAATTTTATCTTTTAAAGTAAATGTTAGAAGATTGAGATCCTTATCAGGTTTAGTAAGTGGAGAGACTAATTAGCTTATTTAGCAGTAAAATTGTTCAGCCACCATTAGTGGTCTGTTTAAGCTTGCAAAAGATGGTTTCTTAACGTAATGCTCCAGCATCAAGATGAATGTGTGGTGCTTAAGGGCACAAATTACATTTGTAGGCTAGCAAAGAAAATGACTGTGTTTACCTATGCCGTATCCTGTTTGCTCCTTCTGCTGTGCCAGAGAGTGCAACATGTGTGTAACTTGGCTGCCCTGGCTGAGCAAGTGAAGACGTGGCACAGCAAAACACGTTCTGCTTTTAGAGACCATGGGATGAGAAGTATTTATTGTTCTGCAATGGAAAATACGTAAATCGGGCTTTGCAAATACCTCTGTTTACTTGAATGTGTAGGACTTAATTTCTTCCTGGTGCCTGGCTTTACCAGCTGCTTTGCTGTGGAAGTACTCCTCTCTGCTGCCACAGTTGAGCTGAGTTTGCAGTTGTTATGTGGCTTCTGGTTACAGTCATATTCCTTGTGTGCAAGCTCCCAGGATGTCCCCCTCTTTCACTCCTTGCCAGTCTAATTCCACCGAGTCCCTAATTGGGGTCGGTTTGTCAGTGGAGAAACTTTTCTGTAATGTGCAGATCAGCTTATGCTAGCCATAAACTTCATAGAAGCATGGAATGGTTCAGATTGGAAAGAGCCTAAAGATCATCTGGTTCCAACCCTCTGCCACAGGCAGGGACACCTTCCTCTAGAGCAGGTTGCTCCGAGCCCCTGTGTCCAACCTGGCCTTGAACACTGCCAGGGATGGGGCAGCCACAGCTTCTCTGGGCACCCTGTGCCAGCGCCTCAGCACCCTCACAGGGAAGAACTTCTTCCTTATATCTCACCATAAACTTCATATTACTGGTTCAAAACTTGAAAATAAATACTTTAGCAAAATATTTCTGCAGCTTTCCTGGGGAGTGATAACCTGCTGTCATTGAAATGACCCACTGATGATTTCAAAAGGGGTTTGAAATCACTGTGTTTTCTTTACCCTGTTACGAAGTAATGCAGTGCCTGATCCTGCAAGTATATAGATGACAAAATTCCCCTCCAGGCAGGCTCAGACTACCCAAAAGAGAACTTGTGCAAACATTATTGCCACGTTTTTCTTTGTCAGCAAATCATAGAACAGCGTGTAATGTTTCTGGTTTCTCAAAAATAGAGCTTTTGAGGCCCAATTTGTCGATTTAATGCATTATCAAAGCCAAAACTTAAACAGCAAAGTAGCTGGTTTGTGTGTTAAATAAAACATCTCTCTTAAAGATGTTGTCTGTATTCTCTAATTAAGCAGTACTAATCTCCTCCAGGTACAGTAAGGATCCAGTTCTGCCACTGTTGTATTTCCAGTCTTGTTTTTAATGGGGTTTTGATTTGTACAGATAGGACCAGATTAAGCTTGTGTGTAATGAGGCTGAAGATTAAGCATCTTGTGATCTTGAGACTGAAGAGCTTCCATGTCCAGCATATATCCTGTGTGTTCTCAAGCTCTGTTGCGGACAGAAAAGCACGTAATACTCACATCCTATCCTCTTCTCTGTTCTGTCATCTAAAGTAAGCTCTTAAGGGCAGCAGTTTTATTTCTGCAGCATAAAGCAATGGGGAAATGCTCCAAGTCTGGGTAAAGGAAAGCAGACGGAGGGGCTTAAGTCCCAGTTCTCACCTGGGGAACAAACCAAAACCCAGCTGTATTCACAGCATGTTAACCATGCTCTAATGCTGCAAACCATAAACTCTCATACTGCAGTAGCACAGTATGAATCATCCTCAATCAAGAGGAGTTTCTGTGTCCACCTCCTAAGCTCTGGAACAGCTTTGTCATGGAAAGAAGCCCTGCTAGGGAGAGGTGTCCTGTCTCCTCTGGTCTCCCAAAACACCTTCCCCATTCACAGACACCAAGGCAAATGGGAATATTGGAAAGACTGTGCAGTGGTTTAGCTTAGGTGTCTGCAGACGGGCGTATAGCATGATGTTCTTGCAGCCCTAACACAGAAAGGGCTTTTTAGCTGTACTTTAACACTCAGGTCAGCAGGGGGAAATTCTATAAAATGCAGTCAGAACATTTAAAATAGTAATGACTGCCTGAAATGACTCTGGTGGGTTTTAAAGGGGGGGAAGAAAAAGAACCTTGGTATTTTTGCTGTGGCTTAGATGAGTGCAAGACTGCAGTCAGCCATTCAGCCTGTTTGTTTTCACTCCTGTGGGACAGAGCAAATCCACTCCTGTCTCCGGAGCGATGTTCTAGCACTCTCTCTTACAGGAAGAGATGATGACAGCTATCTAAACTCATCATCTTGAAACTGTTTGCAGGTGGACATGTGCTTTTTGTCAGGAAGTGACTCATTCCATGCTCCTAGGAGGGAGGATTTAGCCTGTGTGTCTGTAAGACACTTGTGATGCTGTAGTGCACGGAGTGAAGCACCCACAGCCCCAGCCTTCGCTGACAGCAGCTTTGGAACAGGTACTTCCAACTTGGGAATTGCTCATGTTCCCTGATGTTAATCTGCACAGTGTGGTGTATCAGGGGTTGCAAAACATCCTCCTCTGAGGTGATCGTCTGCAGTCTGTCTAAAATGCAGGAGTTCATCCAGAAATTCTATTTATATGAGTTATATTGAAGGAAATGGGTGTTTATTTTTCTTCCCCAACCATGACTCCTCTTCCCTTTTTGTTCATTTTAAAAGGCTTACATGTGAGAGAGAATTTTCACCTTTCTCCATTGGTACCAAGTGTCACATCTACATCTGTGTGAACTACATGTGCTAGTAACACCATGTATTGTGTGCGCAGCAGACCTCAGAATGAAGTAGCACCTTATGGAGGGGATAAATACTGGCTTTTTATAGGGGAAAAATAAGCAATGGACACTTCCAGAGTAAACACATGGAGCTAAATATCTGTGTGTGTAAGCTTCTGTGGCATCCGCACCAGATCAGTGCGTGTGGATGGGTGAGCTTCAGTTTGAGGCATTCCTTTCTATAGCATCAAGTATAGCATAGGTTTAACCGCTGAGGTTTGGTGTTTGCTGATGTGAACTGTGTGTTTTGGGAGTGTTTGGCTGGCCTGTCCGTGCTCCCTCAGGTCTGGGCACCCCTTGTTTAGAAGTAGGGTCAGAACCTTTCCATTTGCCTTATGCTAATGCTGTAGTTTATGTTAGGTAGATGTTCTGGTCGTGGTAAGAAGTGATGAACAGGAGCTGCTGCATAGAAACCCTGATACAGGAATGAACCAGCAGGAGCCTTGGGTGTGCCTGGTAGATGGGTAACAAAGAGAACTGGAACAGCAGCCAGTGCAGAGGAAGAGGTATTTCTGTGCCAGAGTATGTTGTGTGTATTTCTGGTGATCCCCTTTCTGTGGATTAGTAGTTTCCCTCTCATGTGGGAGACCAGTTTCCGCTGCCACAAGGCTCTCAGCTCCCTCCCTTGGTTATCTGTTGGCTTTTATAGCGTCAAGATAAAGTTAAGTGAACAGCATTTTTCTTAAGTCAAAGTCAACACCGTTTTTCTGAAGTCAAATTTGAGCAAACAGCATTTTTCCGAAGGGATTGCCCTCATTTATAGCCTTAGGCTTTTAGCTAGTTTTCCCATCACTGTTGGACCGTGGCGATTGCCCATAGCACAACCAAGCCGGTGAGCCTGTCCTTTGTCAAACACGCCCATCCCCGTTTGCTTTGCAGACTCATCTCGATGGTTTCTGTATTTTCCGGGTCCTTGCTGCTATAGCACAGTTGGAGTAGAAACTGATTGGAACAGCCCAGGGGGGAGTTGGGGTGCAGGAGCCCAGTGGTTGCTCCCCACCGGAGCCTGGGCTGGGGGTAACCGCTGTCGGTACCGCTCCTGGGCGGTGTTAACGGGGCACAGCGCTGCCTCCTCCGCCCGTACGGGGCCGCAGGTCCGGCTGCCACGTCCCGGGGGCCGGGCCGAGACCGGGGCGGGGCGGGCAGCGATGCCCAATAGCGGGCCGGGCTGCGGGCTTGCGCCCTGGACCCCTCCGCCGAAGGAAGGAGGGAGGGCGGGCGGCGGGGGCCCGGCGCGCAGAGCCGGCGCGGCCGCGGAACGGGGCGGACCATGTGCGGTAAGGGCCGGGCGGGCGGCGCGGCCTGGACGGGTGTGCGGGGAGCGGTCCCGGTCCCGGTCCCTGCGGGGCCGTGCCCGCGGCAGCCCCGGCGGAAGGAGGGCGCCGGCCGCGTCTGCGTTGCCTCGGTTATAGCGCTAAGGGCCCTGAGCGCCGTTATCTGGGGGTGTCATCGTGTTGTCCACCGGCAGCGTCCGTTTCCGCGGGGGGAGGCGTCTCGCAACGGGATAATAACTCAAAAAGGCGAATTGTCCCCGCATTGCGTGCGGTTGAGGCCGGCGCGTACAAAAGGCAGCGCCGCTCCGTCGGTGCGGGAGCCTTGCGGGCGCTCGGTGGTGGCCGTGGGTCTGGGTCTGGGTCAGCGGTGCTGGGGGTGGCGGCGGGTGGCTTTGTGGGTTCTAGTTCTCAAAGCAGCCAAGCGACACGGGAGCCCAAGC